GTAGAGCTTAAGTTAAGTCTTTAAGTTGATCCGATTCGATCTAGTAAAACATATTTATACTTTATTATTTTAAAGTAGAATTGTATAACTTTTTTTAACTTTAGGTTTTGAATTATGATGAGTGGTTTTGATATTAAGCTGGCTCTAGTAGTATCGATGATACCTAGTAAATTTTATATTGTTTTTATTGGACATGGTGTACATATATTGTAGACAGAAACAACGGCTAAAATAATAAAGTTATCTTAAAACGTATATTCACTATAGTCATTTATAAATTATATTTTGTTATTTTATAGTTATTTTTTTTTCGACCATGGTCAATTCGTGCACAATAATATTGATAAAATAATACTAAGATAACTATATTTATTAGATTACCACTCTAATTTCACCAATTGAAATATAATCCAAGTGTTTTTTTTAAATACAATAAACAATATGGTAAATACAACAAATATGTTATTTTTTATTTCACCATATTATATTTATATGTAGGTATATTTAAAGTGTAGCAATATTCTACTATTAGGCGCACTGATAGTTTCAAACCATATACCTACAGCAGATATTTTTACTAAACTATTTTTCCTACCATTCATAGTCATAATTTATGTACAATAAATAAAACATTTAAAAAAAAAATTAACAAAGCCTTGATTTGACAATGTATTAGTGCAATACAATTTAATATTTTGAACTTTAGTCAAATTAATCTAGATAAATAATTACCAAAGGTACTATAATATGATTTATGCATAGCAGATTAATACGAATAATTTTGTATTTAATTAATATATTTTGGGTTGTATTATATTATAAAATAAAATATTGTTCTTTGGTTATAGTTTAATATAAAGTGTAAATAAATGTTAAGTGAATATACATCTATAATAAAAATTATTAACTTTATAATCTATAAAATAGACTACCCATATTTAAAAAAATACCATGAAAATTATTCAATAGTGTTTTGAATATGTTGAAATATTAGAAATATTTTTTTTTTATTTACAATTTTTCTATGAATTTTTTCTATATTAAAGTTTAAAATTATTATTCTAGTTTCAAATAGTCGTATATTACACAAAAATACTTTAATATAACTGAAAAATAATATATTTGGTAGTTAAGAAGCGTAATAGATATATACAAGGATATCGTCTAAATAATAACTAGTTTTTATTAAAAATTATAGAGAATATATAAAATGCTCATTTCAATTACTTGTTAGTTATTGGCAAAATCGGCAAGTGTTATATTGCCCATGTTTTTTTTTCTTTAAATTAATTTTATATTTGTTTTTTACATTATCATACCATCCAAAGGACATTAAAATTAATCATCCTTAGCCATTAATGATAATGTTTTATCAACATTAATAATTTTACAAATTTTCTATTTTAATCAAGCAATTGATTATTGACAAATTATTATCCAGATTTTAGTCCTAGTCTTTTGTCTGGAATAAGGATCTGACAATTTACGTGATATTATTTTTGGTATAATTATATCTAACTGTTATTATATTTTATTAAGTTGATAATTCATTTTATACTTATTAAATATTTAAATAAATACTCCCAATATTGTATTACCACTATTTCATATATGTAACAAGCAAAAAAAAAGGATTTATAAATTAAAATGTTTTAATCTCAAAACATAATATTTTAAACATATTATTATCGAATTAAGCATATGAATATAGCATTTTTGATTATTTTTTATAATTTAATTATGACGTATAATTTCTAAAATCTGAGACTAATATATACATTTTATGTTTTAATATTATATAAAAATTAAACTTAAATTTATATATTTATATTGAACAGCTAAAAATGAGAGAATAATTTTTAGTTATAATTGTATAAACTATGAATAGAATGCTAATGCGAAATTGATTTAAATATAAATTATTTATAATCTATTATTTGGAATATTATTTAAATTATGGCGATCAAATATGTATTTTTAATGTATTTAGTAAATCAATGAAGTTGTTATATACTCATTAATACTTATAAATTATGTCAATGATGTTTTATTATGTTATGAATAATAATTGAATTTATTAACAATTCAATGAAATTTGAAATTTTAAGTATTTTTAACTAGTGATCAAAAATTATTTATAATTTTTTTATAGCTTTAAACATTTAGTACCTAGACTAATTTTATCATTATTTAGACTATTAAGCCTCTTAGATTTCCTTTATGTGAGTATTTTTTTAGCACTAGACATTTATCATCAATTAATATATTTGTCCAACTTAAAATTGAAAAAATGGATATTTTCATTTACGATTTAGGCTGTGCCATATCCAAAAAAATCTACTTTATATCATAAAAACGAAAAGTATTCTATAAATTATTAATATGGGTTAGAAAAATATTATGGAGCATTTCAATATTTTGATTCTTGTGGAGATAGCTAACGTGATGAAGAGAGAACGGAGCTTGGAAGCGTAAAGTAAACATTTTGGATACATATTTTAAATTATTTTTAACGTATTAAAGATATATTTTTTTAGAATATATAATGTTATTGTTATTGTATTTATGAATAATAATATTTTTATTTGTTCTAAAATTTATTTAATTTTTTTATTTATTTTCGATTTAAGAAACATACTGTGGAATTTTTTCCTTAAAACTTTGAATATTATCTATACAATTTAATTTTAAAAGGTGGTTATTTTGAATATATTTTAAGAATTTATATCTATAGTATAAGGTATTTTGCAACTTTAATCACAACATTTTTCTAAGGATTAAGTTCAACTTTTTATATTTTAATGTAGTATATGAAATGAAAGTAGATTAAGTATTTTTGAATTACAAATGCTGTTTTCTGTAATTTATCCATGCCAAATAATCTATTCTTGTCGTTGCAGATATATCAGGTTCGATTTACATGATGTTAGATTCGTGTAATGTTAGTCTATTATTTAGCTAAGCCATTTAAATAAATTATTTAGTTACATGTGTGCCATGTGCATTCATATATTTAAGATATTATTAATGTTTTTGATACAAGTTTCTTTTGATGACTATAAGACTGGCCATTATTGAAACACTTTAAATTGATTCATATTATGTAGTATAAACATCATTAATAATAGCAAACGTCAAATAGTCTTAAAGCTTATTTTCGTTTAAATAATTTCCTATAAGTCGTAACTTATATAAGTCATTTAAAAGACTCGGTAGTTTGATGAGCTTATATTATATTAATTGGGTATATACTTATAAATGAATAAAAAAAATTTGATTTTTAAACGAACATTGTCAAAATGAAATATTTCTTTGTTTAAAAGCCAAAATAACCATAGAACTTCTTAGTCTTAAAGTTCTGCCGGTTAAAAAAATGTTGTTTGGATAAATATTTTATTTCTTATATTTTATAATTATATGGTAAATTTTTATAATAAAAAATATGTTTCAAACTTTTAAACTAATTTATTGTTTCAATTATGAATAAACTGAATATTTACTATATTAAGAATTTTACTTTGATAGAATTTTGTATTACCATAAACCTATTATTGTAATTAATAAAATATTTATTTATGATCATAAACTAATTTATTTATCTAACTGTAAATATAATATGATATGCATAGAAATAAAAAAATATATACATATGATTTTATTAGTTTTTTTAATTAGCTACTAGTAGCTAGTATTAACTATGGTAGCTCAACAATAACATTTTAAAATATACATAGGTTAAGTAAATTTATTTAGTATCAAAAACTAATTTATGGTAAAATATTTTTTAATTATATGTATAATTAGTGTATATATATTATATGTATAAAATAATTAGACTTTATGAAAATAAGTGAAAACCTACATCAATTTTTCAATGTCGAGGAGGTCTTTATTGCGATCGAAAAGAAGAGTGCACTCGTAACGATCGTGTAGATATACCGATAAATAGAAAAAATTATTTCTAATATCTTATGGCCCACATGCAGTAAATAGTGCCAAAAATATTAAAACCATTATTACACACATTTAATACTTATGTATAAAAATACACTTTTCACGACCCCAGTACCCTACAACATGTTACCGTGCCAAATCTGAGTTATTGTTTTACCAGCTTGCACGTTAGTAGGTATTACAAGACGTAAGGTAATTGGTCTATTTTACTTTAATATATAACAAGCCAACATAGTGGGTAAATGCAATATTAATAACAATAAACATATTTTTAAATATTAAGTGACATTTTTTTAAATTTTCTGCTTAATTTTTTTTGCTTTTAATATCTATAATTTTTAATATATTATTGCTAATTCAGTAGAAACTAACTGTAAACATATATTATATTGATTTTAAATAAATAGTTTTCAAATTTCAATAATTAAACAGGTATACATCTAGTAATTTTTTTTTTTTAATTTCCAAATATAGTGATTTATTTAAAACTATAAACCAGCTTTGAATTATTTAAATGCATATTAAATAATAATAATAATAATAATAATAATAATAATAATAAAAATAGTTTAATTATTAATGGAAATGTTAAGGTACCGGAATAATAATACTGTGCGTATTTAAATCGTAAAAGTTATTTTGCCATTTGAAAGTATAAAAATTAAATAACGTTTTTTGCTGGTTTATATTTATAGATAAAAAGATCAAAGTATTTGATTTAAGAAAAGTTTTACTTTTATTACATAATATAATTTCGCTATAAATTTACTATGTATTTTGAATGTTTGTGTTCAAGTGTATGTATAGAGTAGACTATACAAACATTTAAAAATCTAGGAAATATGTCAACATTTTAATATTCTCTCGTCATAAAATACAAATTTTCAATCGAATCTATAAATCATTTAAAACTCATTCCAAACAGCCAAACGCACACACGACCATGGTTCAAAGAAACTTTAGAACGCGCCAGATAGAGCCGCAAGTGTGTTGAAGCTCAAGGGAGGCGCGTTGTTGATCAAAATTCGTCAGTCGTGCCACGCGCTTGGAACGACTAGCACGTCGCGCCGTACACAACGATATAATTCTCGTGATTTTATACGAGTTATGCCGTAATATTTTTATTTATTTCCGGCAAGCGATGACTGTAATCATTATTGATACAAAATCTATCTCAATTTTTCTTCTTCTTTAATTTCAATATATTCAAATTTCCGTGAAGATGTTAGAACAACTAAAAAAAAAGCTGAAAATAAAATAAAAATAAAGTGAGATAATAATTTCAAAGTGATCGTGCAATATAAACACATACAGGTATGTTAGTTTTTAAATTTTAATATAATAATATGTGGTAATTTAACTATTGATGTTATCGTATTAATTATCGGTTACAATGATTAATAAATTTATTTGAACCCGGACATGAATATTATATTCGTGTCAAGAATATTTATAAAAACATATTATTATGTCTGTGTAAAAAACATTTTTAGCGTATTATTTTTTTTAATTTTTAGAGTCTGTAAACAAAAAATGAACTAAAATTTATATAATATATATATACATATATACATATATGTGTGTATATTTATATGTAAAAAAAGTTATAAAAAATTTTTTTTTTTAATAATGGTTTAAAGATAATGCTTTTGAAGTGTTATTAAGTCTATTAATTAACATCAAATTAATTTATATTTCAACGACTTATTTAACAAATAATTACTATTGATTACATCATAATCTTATATGACATATATATTGCAGCTACTTATTATTTGTTTATAATTTTTAAGTATAGATTGGTAATTTATTATTAAAATATGGTTTGTTTTTATAGTATTTTTAAATTTTATAACATAGTTATACTACAAATTAATTTTATAAAATAAAGAAGTTAACTTATTATATTATTATAGTTAACGTATTTTATGAATTGAAAAAAAATAATATATTGATGTTAAATGTTAATAAACGGTGTTAATTAAAATTGATTAATATGTTATAATAAGCTATAACAATATGATTAAATTATCTATTTTTTAATTTTTTTATATAGGTATAATAATATTGTAACTTCTTCTTGTGGATTATGTAGATCTATTTTGTTGTCACATGATGAAGTGCGGGTACATCATGTTGAACGACGAGCAAAGAGGCACATAATTTTTTCAAAATATACTTTAAATAAATTGTTAATATAATTTTAAAGTAAAATTAATAATTATCACTCATAAGGATAATTCCTTATACTTGAGTTTAATAACTAAAATCCATTAATCCGTAAAGTATGGTATCTATGATTTCAGTGCATGTAAATATTTTATAAATGTATTTAATGATATCAGTGAATTCTCTAATAAATATGAAAAACAATGCGTTAAGTCACCTTTAAATTGGAAAAATGAGCAATTAAAGCAATTAATGAGTAAAACAAAAAGAAACACAAAATTTTTCAAAATTATAATAACATAATTTAGTTACAACATTTCTCTCTTAAAAAAAAGAAAGAAAAAAAAAACTAAATAACTTGTTAATGTTATGTTTTGTTTAAAATTTAGACTTGTAAACTTGTAAAATTGAAACAATATATTAATTTTTGAAAAAAAAAAAAAAATTGTTATTCTAAAATTTTAATTATTTCATTGTATGTTCTATATATATTTTTAAGTAGCTTTATTTAAATCAGCTTTAAAAAAATCAATAATGATAAATCATAACGTTTAAAATATGATTCTGCAATTATTTCACATTTTTCGTAGTTTGTTTGTAGTTTTTTATCAAGTATGTTTCAGAGAAATCAAAAATATTAAAACATTAACTTTACTCAATTTAAGATCGATAGATCAGATAGATCACTATAACACTTTTTTTAAAACATAAATCACTGAGATATAGATAAATACCTAAATGGGTTGTATTTAAAATAAAGTTGTACGTGTTGGTTTTTTTTTTACAAAACTTGAACACATTTTTTCTTTAAATCTATATTTGTTCATATGGATTTAAACACATAGTTCAAATTTGAATAACTGTCATTAGCTTTATGTATTATTTTTTTCCAAGCAATTATCATTGTTATATAATTTTTATTATATAAATTAATTTTTTTTTTTGGCAGGTATTTTATTATATTTTAAGCCAAGTACTAAAGCTATATTTAATAAATATGAGGGTTTGTTATTTATGATTCGAGAAACTTTTTTTGAAGCTATTAAATGCTCAAAGATTTTTTTATTTTCTTTAATTTATTTTATTTCAAATTTTCTTCAAACATATTTTTGATTAATAATATTTATTTTTAATGACATTTGAACGTTTTGGGATTTAAAGTTTTAAAATTTATATTTAATAACCTTTTGTAACTAAAGTAAATTAAATATTTGCGAGTATGCGACCATAACTTAACCATAAAATCATAGGCGATTTTTTAAAACTTCTTCTAATTAAGTTTTCTAATATAATTTTTTAAACATTAAAATATAACAATATACAGTGGAACCCCAATAATTCGAACTTTTATAAGTCGAATTTTCAATAACTCGAAAGAATGTCTTGGCCCCTACTTTATAACATATCATATGTGTAGCCTCTGTAAGTCGAATTTTCGATTACTCGAATTTTTTTTTCGCCCCCAACCGATTTGAATTATCGAGGTTCCACTGTAGTATTTAATCATGTTTGATGGCTTTGTTTATTTTGTATTTACTTAACAGTGTAATTGTAAATACTGATTAAACACATAAAAGCATATAACGTATTTTAACTATGTTAATAAAAGTAATTTTTGTCGCAAAAGAAAAATGTGAAATTTTTCATCATCGATTTATTTTTTATATGCATTATCATCTAATCAGTTAAATGTTTAAAATACGTTTTAACATACAGTTTTTAGCAAAAAATCGTTACACCAAGCTGCAAAAATAATGTTTAAATATATATATAATTGATGTTGGTTCTTCTTTTACTTTGTTGTACTCTTCATTTTACTCGATGCTTTGTTTACTATCACAATGTACCATACACATAAAATTCCAAAGTTCATTGAACACGAGATATGTGTCGGAAGTGAACATTAGGTAGCGTCTAGATGGAGGATAAAATTATTTCGACCCCGTTATCATTAGACGATTCTTAAAACAGTATATTTGGTAAATAGTGTCGTTAATTTTTATTTAAGCCGAACGGAATGGATTAGTGTTATTATTGTACAGCTGCAGCACATATATGATGATGGGTTTTCAGTTTCATATTCAACAATGACCAACACCATTTATTTTTTCTAACAGAACGATTAAAAATATTATGTGATGCAAGTACCCATATAAAATAGTTTTCGTATCAAATTAACACTAGCTGTATTTATGTTTTGTTGAACACCTATTTAATCTGTTTAAGATATCATTTTTATATTTTGCCATTAAGTTGTTTTATTGTCTTTTGTTATTTTTGTTAATTAATTTATTCCTTTTTTTTTACAATATTTTCGTTACTAGTCTACACACGTTTTTCGTTTTAATGTATAGCAAAATATTTACTTTATTATAGATGGTATATTTCTTTACACTATTTACAGTGCGCTATAAAACAAGATGATTATATTTGGTACGTATATTTCCTATAGTCATGGTTAACTGAAATATGTTGACAGAGTATACCTACTTATTTTTATAGAGTATTGGGTATCGGCGTTTTAACGTGTTAGTAGTCGTGAGATGAGATAAATTGTTTGTTGTTATTATTTATCTATGACTTTAGTATATTTTGTACATTTTACCTATATAAATTATAATATATTATATATGTTTACAAGCAAGTAGAGGTGTACGCGTTAAAAAAAAAATAAAAAATAAAAATATATTTCTAATCTAACAAATATGATTTTTTGTGTTTTGGGTAATTTTTACTTTCAATAGTAATATTACTATAAATATACAACGAATAAAGATGATATTTATTAATTTATATAATAAACTGTTCAAAATTATTTTAATTTAGTTCTAATTTTGTTTAAACAACTATTTTGGAATGTATTTTGTACATAATGTTATTATATACAATATACATTTATTTGGATTTATAATACTTTTAAATTATCAAGTGTGGTAGATCACTGGTTGGTAGGTCAAGTTCATGTTGTTGTTTGTTTTTTATTCAAACTGGACCTTGTCTTAAATTTCTTGCAACATATTTGCTCCAAGATGGAAATGATTGAATGGTGAGTTTATTTTTATTCATTGGTATCAGAGTTCATATATCACTATGTGGTATTTAATATAAAAGGCTGTCGTCACGATTTATTGTTAAACATAATAATAATAATAATAATAATTATTATTATTATTATTATTATTGTTATAACCAAACTAACGATTTAAGAATAAAAATATTATAAGAATTCAATATACTAAGACATTATTGGGTTTTAAAATTTAATACACGATGCTTAGGTAAATATCTGTTTAAAACATTAACTTTCAAACAGTATTGGGAATAGATTAAAATAATAAAATAAATAAAGCTTTAAAACATAAAATATCGTCTATCACAATTCACAATGTTTATGGTTGTAGATGATAATTTATCAAAATATATTTGCAAATAGAATCAAATATTATTATCTCAAACGTTATGCAATTTAATATGTCAACTGAAAATTACATTATTTAAGTTGCACGTATTTAAAAGTACATTATTATTGTTATATAAATCATAAAATATTTTTACAATCAAAAAGACTATCAAAATACTTTTGAAAATAAAATTAATGGTGAAACAGCATTTACATTTTATGGTTTTACAAATATTAATTGCTAATAATTATAAATTTTGGGAATAATAAATTAGATGAAATTGAGAAAGTAAAATATTTATTGACAGTTATGCATATATAAATGCCCATATATATTACATACATAAATAGCGTTTTCATATTATTGTTAACTTAGTATACTTTTGAGACGTTATGTTGAAATTAAGATTATTTGTTATCGATAAAAAGTTTATAATAATGTGAAAATGCTTAACTCCCTCGAGCATTTTTTCAATAAAAAAAAAAAATAAATAAATAAATAAAATAGAACTATGCCAGTGTTTATTTTAAATACATACTAAAAAAATATTGTCGATTTTATTGGTGTAATATGGTATAATGAAAGTATAGCTTTCATTACTTTAAATAAATAAATAAATATATATATATATATATATTATATGCTCTAGCTTATTCATTATATCGAAATAAAATATATTATTTAAATTTATTGTAATTAAAAAGTGCAATAATTGTATTAGTTACATAATGGGCAATTAAAATT